GAATCTCCGAAACGTAACAGAACGTCGAGCCGACGGCTCTTGAAATTTGTTAATAAGAAACATACGCGCCACGCTTGAAACTCCGAACTAAAAAGGCCTGGCTGCTGTTAATCGTAAAACGTACATTTCGCAGGACAAATTGGCGATCGGTGGAAACAGGCGTGAGTAATTATTGTAATGGCAACACGGTCTGAAACGTGGCCGAATACAGCGTGGAAACAATCTCCAACGTGGAGAAGCTCTCAACGCGGATTCACGAGCATTCCTTAAGGCTTTCGGGAGATCTGAAAGCTTCGGCGGTTCGTTGCTGGGCTTTCTCGAAAATTTTGCCACGCCGGGATGAAAGAATCGCAAGGTGCAGCACGGAATAGTTGCAGTCGCATAAAACACGAGCTAAACAGTCCTTGTTCCCGGGACGATAAAACTCGTAACTCGGCGCGACACCGGGAAGGTAGTAATTGTTCCTCGTATTTCTTCCCAGGGGAGAGGAGAGGGGGGCGACAGCTCCTTAGAAATTTTCATCGCGAATACGCGACCAAGGAGCGAACGAACTGGGTGTCGCAAGTCGAAATTATTTTCACCGGCAAATATCGAAGCTTTTCAAACTCGCGTGAAAGTTTTCAAGTCGTGGCCATTAGAGATGGATTCGTGTGAACTTATTTCTTTATTGTTACGTACCTGCAAATTTCTACAAATATATATATTTATATAAATAAACCATCGCCGGAGTGACTGTTTGTTCAAGCTCGCGGATCGTTTCCCGGGCTTGGTGGAATTCTGCGTTAAAACGGCAGACAAGAACACGACTTGTTAAACAGTGCTTCCTAGTTTGTAATCATTCATGCGGTACATAACATACAGGGCAGCCTCGAAACGACCGGATGTAAGACCACCAACGCGTAATTGTTAATTTTTACGTCGGCTGATAACGTTTGCTCATCTACATCTCTGGAGAGTGCTCGAGCGCTTTAACGGGCGTATTGTATTCGTTAAAGCGAACGAGGAATGTTTAATTAGCACTGGCTCTATATACAGCCGGCTCCGTTTCTCCGTTTTATTTCTGCCAATTAACGAGATGGACAAGTTCGGTGAATTAAAGCACCTGTACACTTTTGGGGAAATAATTTTGACACTTCGCCGACGAAGTTGAAGCGAGCTTTCGAAATGACATTCGTCCTTCGAATCTATCCTGCCGGTGGACGGCAATTCCAAGATTAATTAAAACGTGCTTTCTGGCAAAACGCACTTAACCTTCACCCCCCCGCTTCGTGGCTTCAAACGCGTGGGAACAAAGAAGAGTCGCGAAAACAAGCGCCACTCTGAAAGACTGGCAAAGTGCTCGTGAATTCACGCTTTGGCTCGAGTGATCGACGCGGGAGGAAAGTGTCGAATTCTCCGTGATTTAATATGTATGCATGTATGTACGTATCTTGGCACGTTTCGACCAAGGAACAATTCGACCCGAGTGGCGCGAATCTATTCGTTACCTACTCGTTTCCCCCGATTAAAGGAATAATCCCCCCAGAGGGGTGTCCTTTAACATGGCCGCTCGCGGAACGCAGCGGCCGAAGGGGCAAAAGTTTTCGCGGAAACGAAACGGGGAACGAGAGCGAGCCGAGGAGAAAGAGGAACGCTGGGAACTGGGAACGAGAAAAAGAAAGGGAACACGAACAGATAGCGAGCAGACGGGCGCGGTCGTGCCGGACGGCATTTTAATAGGTTCGCGGGGTTCGAGCGAAAAAGTTGCAAAACAAAATAAATCGGCGTCGCGACAGGTCGGTCCGCTCTTTCTCCGCTATTTCTCTCTTTTTCTCTCTCACTTTGCTCTCTCGTTTTCTCCCTGTCCCCCGGCACGGTTACGGGGCGCGGGTCATGCATATTCACGTGTGGCATTCGTACGCACGGAATTAAGCGGCCGGGGAATTAAAGCGCTTTTCGGCGAGAGCTAGTCCAGGAGCCTTTTCCCCCTCGCCCCTCTACCATCTCCCCTTCCCCTCCCCCCAAACTCCAGGTGATTACGCGGGGATTTTTCGAGGGACGGCATTTCTATGGCGGCGCGGTAAGTACAGCTGCAAGAGACCGTGCCGCTCGCGCGTCGATTCGGCTCGCATTATTCCCCGAGACAAATTGGACTCTCGCTTCGTCCTGGACAACACGACGCCAAGTCCCCCCCCCCGTTTTTCTCTCTTCTTTCCTTTCGCCGCACGATCTTTGTGGCAAACCGATCGCGGGATACGAAACGCTGTATGTATGTAAGTATGATTCGTAGCTAGAAGTAGTTTTGAAAAATTTTGAATTGCTTGGAAATTGATGTTGGAACAATATTTATACGTACACGTTATTAGCTGTGATACGTAGTCGGTACTGGTGGCTCGTTTGTGGGGACACACTGTGGCGTTCAGACGATATGGTTGTAAATTTTGACGTGTTTGTGGCGTCTGAATCATTGAGCAGATTGTCGCGTGAACGTAGAACGAGGGACCTGGATGATAATTGCGCGATGGGACGTCCATTTGCACTCTGCTGGGAAATTATCGAACGTTATTATATATTAACAATCTGGTTACAAATTCGAGTAACATCGACGAGTCCACTTGTGGAATTTTCGAAACTTTCCCCAAAACGACTACGGTTCGTGTTTGATTCTGAATGGAGTCTGAATTTTAGAATCTAGGCAAAAGGAAGAACAACAACGCGTTTTGTCGGAGTTCAGCCATTCCCCCGAGTCGCTTCAAAGAATTCTAGCAATTTGCCGCGCCACTTACGGGCGTAGAGCGAAGGCAGCGAGATAGGCATAAATATTCATGTCGTTCCTAGTAAAGGCAACAACAAATGCTTTGTCGCGTGCAAAAAGCGACGCTGCCACGGCTAAAAAGCCTCGGCATCGCGCACTGGGTGTATCCCAGGTATTCGTGAAACGGGACAAGCAGAAAAAAATTGAGCGAAGGGGGGGGAAAAAGAAACAGGAAGAGGTTGAGGACAAAATTGACAAATTGATCTCGTAATTACGGCTGACACGCGGTGGCAATTGCTCGGACGAATTTTAGCGGAGAACTTTTATGCTCATGACAACGATGTTTCACAGTCGGTGGTAATTTGTCGGCTGCTGCGTCTTTCGCGCGAGTATACGTGCCGATGGACACTGTACGCGTATCGCTTTCGGAAGTGTAAGCCTGAACTGCCTGAAAGTTTCAACATTTTGAAACTCAAAACTTGAACTTTGCGCGGAATAATCAAACTTTACGTTACGTGTATACTGCAACGGTTTATTAACCGATGAGGAAAATGTTGCGAAAGCTGTTCTCGTAGCCGCGCGATGCACGGCCTCGCGCGAAGAAAGCGCGGAGTAAGAAGAAGAAAATGAAGAAGAAAGGAGCGGCGAGAAATCGCCGTGAGGAAGACGAAGCGTCTGAAATAAGGCTCGAAACCTCAAACCTCCGGGAATCTCCGGCATCGTGCAACTATCACGTCTGCCAACCAGACTGTGCACCCTCCCCCCGGCTTACCCTTTTGCTACCCCTGTGTGCCACACAGTCGGCCACCCCTTTCTCCGCCGCGCCGTCGCCGCCGTCGTTTTCATCTCTCCTTTCACCCTGCGCCCTCGTCTCACCCGTGCGAGAGAGATCCTCCCCCCTTTCCCCCCTCGTCTCGCCCTTGTGTCTCACCCTTCCATTCGACCGACCGCCCGTCTAGCCGCCCTTCCAACCCCTGCACGCTGCTGTGCGCCGCGCGCCACCCCCGATCGCGTCCCGACGAAACTCCTCGCCACTCCAGACGACAGCGGCTCTGGTAACGGAGACTCCTCGAAACGTCGAACGAGCGCCGGTTACGAGGCGTTTTCTCCTCCGTAGTGGTTGCGATCGACGCCCGGCTCGCCGACGAGGTGTGCAAGGTCGAGACGAAGGACCTCGGTGGAGGCCGATGAGAGACGGTTCGTTCGATCGATCGATGGTTCCGACTCGATCCTCGAGGGCGGCCACTGTTTGCGCCGGGGCACGCGAGCCACGCGGGAACGATGGCTGACCTTTCCGGTCGAGTTGAAACTGCCTCGGCGAGTATTGAACAGGGGTTTCCAAAACGGGGACACCTTTGACATTTTCCTCGCGGTAGCAGGCCACGGCGAGAGAGATCAGGGGTGTCGAGAGGGGAGAAATCGATCGAGTCGCTTTTCGCAAAGTTTCCTTGAAAAATTTACCTACGGTCTGAATGAAACTTGGAATATCCAGACATCGTGAATTTTCAAATACCTTTCGGATTTTAATATTTCATCTCGCCATTTCACCGTAACAATTAGAGGTTAACGCGTTGAATTTGTTCTACGTCGTTGCTCAAGCCTGACGCATAAACGATCTTGGTTAATAGAGCGAATTTACGAGAGCAGCGTCTCCGGTGTGACCACGTCCAAAAATAAGAATTCGTTCATTGTGATTTATAGCCTGTGTGGCGCGTCAATGTTGGATGATTATGTATGGTGTTAAACGGCAGCTCCCGACGGCAGCAGATGTGGTTCGAGCGGGTCTACCCTGTATAGCAAGAGGGAGAAAGAGGGGAGGGGGACTGTCTAAACCTGCGACCGTGACATTGAAACGTTACGTCGGGCATCCCCCTCACGACGGCCGGCGGATGGACAGGCGGACGAATAGATCGAAATCTGCCTTCACGGTCCTTCGTCCCTTCTCATGCGGTCCTTCTTTTTCTTCGATGATTCAGGCCCGGAGCCTCATATACTTGCATTAAATATTCATCGATGATAAAAGACCCACTGGCAACGCGATATATCGTATATACACGGCATGCAGTTTCTTTTAACCGAAAACCAGTTGTAAAGTAATTATTAGATCGCTGTATTAAAAACTGGTCTTGTGTCTTTCAATTGAAAACCGATTGCGATTTGAATGTCATACGATTGAAAACGAAAATAACGTAACTCTTTCGAAAGTAGATGAAACAGTCGAAGGTACGAAAAATTCAGTAATAAAATGTTTGTAATCATTTCTCAGTGTTTTAAACGATTAGAAAACTCCTCCAAGTTTCGATTGCACGTACGTGATTTCACATTTCGCCATGGGACTCGATCCACGGAGTTTCAGTTAGACTGACTGTATTTATACCCATGGTATACACCATAAAAGATTCGAGCGTCACAGAGAATGCACAGTAGTGCGACAAAGTGGAAGTCGCGTCGGATTTTCGTTTGGCGGAACGATCAAGGTGTACAAGAAGGCAGGCTCGGTTCACCGGGCAGGAGTGTGTTCCTTCTGGACGATCGAGAGATCGAAGCTGACGGGTGTGTAGAGAGACCCAGGCCCGATGTACGTCCCGGGGCGATTCTAACCGGACAAGATCGCGTTATATTCCATCGTGATCGCGAGAATGTTCACTTTTGTATGCGAAAAGGGGGAGGAACAATGGCGTAAGTGGCATGCACGACCGCACAAACAGACAGACGGCCCTGCGGGAAATTGCATTGCACGCATCGGACGGACACACGGAATTGTAGCCTCTCTTTCTCATTCTATCGTTTGTTGGCTTCTCTGTCTGGTCGTCTGTCGTTCCCCGGGCGCGTCAGGGGCCCGATGTCCTCCTTCCTGCCCACTTACGATCGTCAACCGGCCACCTGTCCCTGCGTATCCTGTCCTGTCCACCCGTCTGTCCGTTCCTCCATCCGTTCGCCAAGCACCCAACGCTTCACGCTTCCGCGGGAACCCAAGTGGCAACGCTTGTTCCCGGAGAACAGCTCGCAAATAGAATGGAATTTCCAGGGAACCTATGCAACGGGGGAGCCGCACGGCTTGACCGAGTGCTGTTCCATTTGATGGGGATTGATTGAAAAGAGTTGTAAGTAGCCGGGCAACGGTTCTTGTTTCGTTATGGGGAACAACCGGAGCCTGCTGTAAGTTGTTGAAGTGGTTGAATTGTGACGTGAAATAAGAGATACTCGAGGCAAAACTTTGACTGATTAACAAACTTCCATTGTGCCGGATATTGAAGTTAGTTGACCAAGTGGGAGACAATGATCAGAGAGGTCGCGAAGGTTTCTTTTTTTTTGTACGTGTCAAGAAGAATTTTCCATGCGAAAAGAAAGGCGAAGGTTTCTCCAGAGAGAGAAACGTGCAGAGTCGATCGACAGCTGAAACTGTTGTCTCGCGTTACGTCGGGCAAGATTCTCGTTTCTTTCTTGTTCTATAATTCTTCTTGGTATGTGGCCAAGACAAGCGCGACAGCTTCTGCCACCCGTGTGCGACGTCAGAACTCAAGTCAGCTCTCCTTTGTCGCGAGCTTCGTCTCTTGTTCTCGATGCTTCCGCGTGATCGCCGATGAAGACAGCGAGGTCGCAACCGATACCACGAATCGGGACATCTTTAACGAGGAAAAAGACATCTCCTTCTATAGGGTAGGAAACGAGAAGCCGCGTAAGGCAATGGGCAAACGGCGAACAGCCGGTAGGACAGACTTGCCTATAAGGAGGCAAAGAGGATGGCAGACGCCCGCTCGTCTACACCCGCTTCGACTCGACTCAACTCTCAACTCTCTGCAGTCACTCGATAAAAAACAGTCCGCCGCTTTCCTGGCCGTCCGATGCATTGGCGTACCACATAGAGGTTTCTTTCTCTCGTTTCAACCACCTTTGGTTTCCTTCCACCCTGTAGCATTCAACCACACGTCAATGTTCGACTTTCTTCTTGCTCTACTTGTTTTATTTATTTATTTATTTTTTTTTTTCTTGAATTTGAAGTTTATTCGATGCAGCCGTCGATCGCTTCGTTCTTTACATCTCTATAAAAGATCCACCATGGTGAACACCTGACGAGGAACGAATGATCAATAGCCAGGAGAGGGATGTTTGCATGAATTATAGAATCGCATCGATAATTAATAACAGACACGTGGTGCGTGCGTTGGCAGTTAATCGGTAACGAGTTTACTCGAGGACTGTCAGATACGAATCGAATTCACAAGGCGCAGACTGACAGCCCACGCGGCGTGCCGCGCCGTCGCGACATCCTTTTTTGTCTCACGCACGTAATCAGAACACGTGCGCACGGCGGCCGTCATCGATGCAGGTGCACAGTCGAACGGTGCGTGTCGAGCGGACGTGTACCGTGACCTTTCCCGAAAGGCCACCCTGTTGGCCACGATGATCGCGCCAGCTGCAGTCTCTCTGTCTGTCTTGGCCTGGCCGACACCACGTCGGTGTCGATCGTTTCCCAGCTCTCGACGCCAATGCAGAAATTACCCCCTGCGACCCCCTGGACCGTCTGAGCGGTGTCTAGCCATCGTTCCCTACCTCGAACCGTCGAAACCCTCGCCCCCGCTGCGCCATACTCTCTTTCTCCCTCTTTCGCATCCCTTCTCTGTGCTCTCTCCTCTCTTTCTCTCTTTTCCCCTGCTGTTCTCCCTCTTCCTCCCAACCGTATCCGACTGCCCCACCCATCCTCCCTTACCCGTCTCCACTGCTCCTACCCCCGTTCCACGATCTCCGTCGACCTTCTCTCCCCGGCTGGCGGGGGTGCAGTCTAGCCAGCGACTATAGTCTCCGCATCGCGGCATGCTATGCCATGTAGCCCGGCCAGGTTCACACGATCCATCCTACCATCACCAAGGAGTGTAGAAACCGGCAGCCGAAAACCTATCGGCGAGACGTTGTTGTTGGATCGAGGAGGAAAATTTTTGCCTTTCTTCGGGCGTTTGGTGCTCGACTTACATCGTTCGAGGGAATCGGCGACGGCCACCGATTGGCGGACGGGCCGTTAAAACCAGGACCGCTCGTCGATCTTCGATATCAAGTTCACGTTTCCCACTTCCAAACGGATTGCTCGGGCTCTTGTCTGACTTTCGCGCAGACGGGTGGAACGGGTGAATCTCGAATCTCGGCTCCTTTTCAGTCTCTCGTAGCCCGGCAATCTACACAACGCACGAACGCACTCATTATAAAAACCTTGCTGCTGTAGCTTCACTCACAATTATGATCACGAAGGATCGATCAATGTTTTCGTGGCTAAACTGTGCGGGATATTAAAAGATTGGGGTTAAAGTCAAGGTTGCCGCCGTCTGCAATCGATAGTTTGAAGTTGAAGGAATATTGTGCTTGCTCCTAAGAGAGGAAGACTAATATTTATCATTTAACTAAGATGAGAGACCACATCTAAAGTCCTTTTTCTTCAACCTAAACAAAATAGAATTTTAATAAGCAATGTTGAAAATTTGCCTCTCTGTAGAAAATATACTATACACACAAATTCTATGGAAATGATAATGGGTATGTAACGGACCTATGCAAACCGAAATCGTTCAACCGAGAATCCTGATGGTTCGCACGGTTGTTCACCGCATGGAGGTACGCGTCTTAAACGCTCAACGATAATGGCATGTACACAGGGTACAATGACGAACACTGTCCGGGTGTTCCAAGTGACTAGCGTAAATAATTCTTTCTGTCCGATGCGTTCGAGTGATCACACGAGTGGTGAATTCCGAGGGGATTGAAGAACGGATACAAAAAAGCTCCCTCGCACTTTCTAGACACCCCCTCTTCGTCGCGTGACTCAAGACGATTAGGTCTGGCTTGGGAGCGCAAGAGTTTAGTCTCGGTTTGATTGGGGTAGGTCCCAAACGTATAGTCGACGACGTAATAAGCCAACCACCACGAGGACTTGCTACCAACGTGGCAAGGTCAGTGATGGGGGACCTACGTTAATTAACGTCTTGCCGTTAAACCGTCCCGATAGGTCTCTGGAGACGGAACCCCGATGACCATCATAAAGCAACGATAGAGCCAAACAACGTTTAAATTCCGCTGGGAAAAGCATAATTTTACACGGGGCTGGCAGCTATATGTATATATTGCAAGCTATTAGTATCGTCGGTACAGATTATAAATCATAAGTGCGTAACTGTTTGATACAATTAGTTAAATGGAGATCGATAACTTTTATTGGGCCGTTTAATCATTATGATCGTAATTATTAAATGCACGATCATTTAAAATTGGATACTTTAATCTGCGTAGTGATGCAGAATAAAATATAATTACGCGAGTACTTAATACAGAAAGTTGCATTACCGAATGACAATTTACTCGAATCCACGATCCATGCTGTTGTTCTATCTGGTAGGGAAAACACAAAAGTAATTACCATTCGTAGTTCCGTATTCCGTTTGTGCTTTACAAACTGCAGAATATGACAGAAAAAGTTTCCACGATGCTGGGTTGTAATTAACTCATGTCGAATGAGAAGTCCAATCCAATAATTCTGCTGCAATTAGAGAAATATTAAAAATTATTTGGAACACTTTTGTAAAATCAATTTTACAAAAATATTGAAATATTAATAGCATGAACAAAGCGTTATTATTCGAGTCGAACTACCAGGGAAGTTGTAAATTTTCATATTGGCAGATTTTAGTATCGAGCTTCCGCGCTGTGTTCTATAGCCGAAGCCTACGCTGCCGGGCGAGATGGTTGTCGTAGGTTAGTAATCGATAAAAACTTATTTTTCCCGTGCGTGATGCAGTGACGAGAGGGGTCGTTCGTATTGCTAGTTCTATTATAGTCCGCAGCTGTACATTTCGTCGCCTCGCACGAGTGGCGTTATCAAGGAAATCGTTTTGTTGCGTACATTGTCACGTAAGACCAATGGAGTGGAAGAGAAAATAGGGGTACGAGTCGTTCTCGAACGAGTTATTGAAAACCGTGAAAAAAAGAACATGCGTGTATAGACAGACCGCAGGACATGCAACGGGGACGAGCTTTGCAACGTATGTGTATGTATACATATACGTGAATGTTACGAGCCTCTGTCGTATATATACGGGTCTTCGCGTGAAAAATGAGCTGAGAAAGCCGAAACATCGTGTCTTTTATACGTAGTACACACAACGATCTGCCATGTGACCTAACCTCGTTTCGCCTGGCAGCTTGCTAAAATGTTGAGCGTGATTTTTTGATTTTTCATGCTACGAAAATCCTTGTACCTCTTGTATTTACGTGACTGGTACAGTAGTATGATGTAACTCACGCGTTGCATCCATGGAATCGTGAGCGTGCGTTTCTATCGTAAGTAGTAAGTGTGCACGCGCGTCCCGGACGTACCGGCGCACGAGTGTGTAAGCGTGGACGAAAACACGCCGTTGCCCGAAATAACTGGGTATGAGTCAACTGCAGTGTCTAAATAGGAGGTTCGCCACATTTAGAGTTCGTGTCTTGATTATACATGATCTACACCATGTCAAATAACCTAGAAAATGCGTAGCTATCGAAAGAGTTCGATCGTTCTGACGAATGAAACACCTAAAAATGAAAATAAAATGAAAATACTTATAAAAATCTATATATACACGTGTTGAGGCACATTCTGAATCGAATCGACAAATGTAACAGAGAGATCAATAATTTAGATTCGACTCGATCCAAATTTGATAACTTCTATCTATCTATCGTAACCTAGATTTCTACATAAGAAGATAATCCTTAAATAATTTCCAAATAATATTTAACACTTACCATATTTTTTGTAATAGTTTTGTTTAATAGTTTTGAACGATGTATTCAGTTTTTCAATGTATGCAGACATCTTGATTCTAACCTGTAGCATGAAATTGTCGAACGATAGATCGCAAAGATTTGTCATATCGAATGCGATCTCTAGAGTGGGAGTAAGAGCGTAAACTTCACGCCATCGGCATGCACCTTTTGGCGCGCGTTGCAGTCGATCGCGAAGTACGGTGTCTACAAAAAGGAAGAAGTTTAATAGAAATGTTTTATTCATCTGTCTTTAATCGACAATTAAGGCACTTCTCGTGCTACATCAAAGGTGTAAAAATCAAGTAGGTGCCCTTGAAGTACTAGCGCGATTTGATTTCCATCTTTTTCATTCTCTTCGTTAAAACGTGCAGGTTTTAGCATTCTCGAGTGTTACTTGATTTTGTAAAAAAAGGAAAAGAGAAAGGGAACCAGAATAAATACGTACAAAGAAATGCAAGCGAGGAGAAAGGGGAAAGGATAGTAAAGTATCGTCGATCACACTTGTAATTCAAATTTTCTCTTTTAGGGCGCAAGATGTTTCCATGCTAGTGAAACGAGATAGAGAGATGGAGAGAGAGAATGAGAGAGATCGAATAGCTGGTTCCGATGTGCGCAGGAGTCATTCTTGACCTATGAAAAAAGAGAAAAAGAGAGAGAGAGAGAGAGAGGTGCTTATTCATCGTGGTAAGTTTTTTACGCATGAAAGTGTTTTTACAAGTAGGTAACACCTCGCTAACCGAAAAAAGAAGCCGTTGCTACTAAATGCGGCGTGAAAGTGAGACACGCGGATGCGAACCTCAGATTTTTCAGGGACACGATTTGATCTCGCCACTCGGAGATTAACCTACCTCTGACGTACCTCAGAGAATATAAATATATATACATATATGGTGACGCGTGACACACGCGTAGCCCTTACAAGCTGACCGGCACGTGTCGAGACAAGACGGTTAGTCGAGAGCGTGAGATAGAGAGGCAGCGACAGAAAAGAGAGAAACATCGAGAACCGGAGAAGAAAGGGCATAGAGGTGGGGGTTAGAATTATACGTGCCCCGAGGAAAACTCAATTCGCGGCCACTTTGACGCACCCTCCATCTGGGTGGATCGTCGGATACGCGCTGATACAAATCCACGAGATATATTCCTTCTTCTTCCTTCTACTCTCTCTCTATATCCACAGTCTATTCCTCTCTCTCTCTCTCGCCAGGGCACATAGTCGTAGTAGTTTATCCTGCTCTCTACCCCACGGTGTACACCAGTGCACGTGCAGATACTCATTCGTACACACCGACAGGCTCGCAGACACGTGCGTGGACCGGCAACAATTCCTAACCAAAAAGCCGGAGTCACCCTCGCCTCTCCTCCTCTTGCCTCTCGCACGGGAGTGTCTGGCTGCGACCGTCATCGGCGTGGCATCGCGATGCGGGGAAGTAAGAGGGGAAAACACCCGGCGCAGCGGCGAGCGGCGGGAGAGGAGTGGGAACACAGACCGACAGTGGCTCAGGGGGGAGGCTACGTACTCGTGACGTTGCGTCTAGACGCCCCCTCCACCTCAACCCGAAACGACGTCCACACAACGAGCGTCGAGCCAGCGCAGCGCTGAGGAACCTCTCAGCTCTCCCCGCCCCTCGCGTGCCTAAATTGCCGAGCACCGAGCTCAGCGTTTTGTTCTCGCGGCGCTAGATGTCGCCCCCCGTTGACTGAATTACCATCGCGTATCGCGGATTTTCAAAGTACGCGGGCTTTTCTGCATTCGCGTTACGTTAAACGAGCAAGTACGTTAGACGTTTAAGCCAGTTTCTTTTGTATTTATGTAGTGACCGTCGGTTCCAGCAAGTGACTCCGCTCTTGTGTGTATTCGCCGCAACTACGGCCGGCGATTATTTTGGAAGGACGATGATTATTTTTGGAATGCGGGCCTCCACGTAGAATGGACAGGTGAGGTTACGATTTTTTATCTGCCTCGTAACGTTGCATACATTAGCAATGGATGTTCCCTCGCGAATGCAACACTTAACGATATCGATGTCAGGCTAACTTTTATTATTCTTATCTCGTTTTATCGTGATTCATGATTCATCCGAGCGTACGGTGCGTAGACGCGTTTATCGGGGATCACGGCTCGCGAGTCGGGAAAGGTTAGACGGGATTTAAGAGCGGTGTATCCTTAAGTTTGCGTTCTTACGTATGCGTTTAAATTAGGAATGGCATTTAAGGTCATTCGTGAACTTTATTATCGTTTAATCGCGGCGGCGTACACATGCGCGTGCTTTTAATCACGTGCACCCGCGCACGCATGTATGCGCGCGTATGTGTGCGCGTGCAGGGAGACACGAGAGAGTAGATGTGCATCGTTGAATTTTTATGGACTGAGGGGAGCGATGCGAGACAGACGTTTCATGGCCTTGAAGATCCGCGGCCGGCGATAGGGGCATAGTTCTTTTGTGGAAAATAATTTTAGTCGTGAATCGTCGTTTCCACCGGCGAGCGTGCAAGCTAATTAAATTTCTACGGATCGTATACCATGTTTGACGCGGGAAACCGAGAACCGGATTTCTAAATGCTCCCTTTAGAACCATAACATCGAATTCAATCGTAGGAATTTCAAAGGCCGGCCTGAGATATCGTACAATTCACTTAGGGCTAATTGGTTGGGAAACAAATAATTTACGACTAATTGTAAGAAACTTTTCATTTTTGTTTCTTTTTTTTTTTTTTTTGGTTAAATTGAAATAATTAAACTGCACAAGGCTCCTTTGTATAATAATTCGTAATTTATAATATACGTATGTAATTGTCACATTGTCATAGTCGAGATACATTTTTTTTGATGAACGTATATTAATTTTTCTCGTCGCTGGTAAAAAAATATATGGCCATATTTACAAAAAGAAAGTACAGTGCACTTTGCATCTGGGAACATTCATCGCTCAAAAAACATGATCATAACGAAAAATAACATCTACTAAATTGTACTATATGATATTTCACACTATCATCACTTACGAAAAAGTTATAACTCATCTCAAGCCATCCTGTATAACATACTGCCAGGAATATTATTAAGAATGATATACGGGGTGTTGCAAATAGGTTGGCCAAAAATTTTTAATTTAATATAAATTCCATGTGTTAAAATTAGAATGAAAATGCATGTTTTATTCAATTATCATTGAATTTTTGAAATTCATTCTCCGCGTGTCTTGATATTTTCCAAAAAGAATATTCTTCGTTACATCTCTGCAGTACGCATTGAAAGTATAGAAACACAGACGTAACACGTGTTCTACAGCAGCAAATCAAAAGAAAAAGCGAACTGCCGACTACCGTGAAAATTATTCAACCGGTTGACTAGCACGTCGGCTCCTACATTCCTTTATTCGCACATAGCGAAGGCGACCGCGCAAATAAAGCGACAATGGTAATAACAATTGAATCGGTGGCGAGCGGTAACTGCACGTGTTTATGACGATCTTGGTTTACGCTCGTAAAGAGTGGTTGGCCTCTAAAGGCCGAGGCATCCGTCCGATCCTTGCCTCCTCGTACGTTTTGCTTTAATAAATAAGACGAGGCCGATTACGTTCACTTCTCGGACTCTTTTCCTTTTCAATTCCATTTCCCTCTTTTATTTTCCCCCCAATTTTTCTATTCTTTCTCGAAGAGTCATCGAGGCATTCATTTTGATGAATGATAAAAGGTACACGAGGGGTTGTACCAATTTGTATTCCGAGGACAAGCATTACTTGCAAATGTGTAAAAGGAGGAGAAATAGGTTTGTTAGACGTAAATCAACTTTGCTTTTCTCTTAATGGAACGCTCGACGTGTTTCAATCTCAATTTTCTTCTTTAAATTTTTACAATTTTGACATTCGTCCAAACTCTCGTGACTATTTAATCCACCTACTGCGTTCAAGTCGATGTGATACGTTCGTCGTAGAAAGTACCATTGCACCTCGAACTCGCGAACTTGTTAACGTTAACGTACGCGATTTAAGGGGTATTCCACGAATGGAAAAAGATTCTACGCTGGCTGTTAAAGGTACGCGTAAGCGGAGGGTCGCGTTCATCGCAAACAGAACTTACGCAAGCGAACTCGCTTGAAATGCGGGGCTCCTGCAGCAAGTACGAGGGAAACTATTTAAAGGTCACGCATATATTTCGCGGCAGCGGTGCAGCTGCACGAGCCGACCACGTAAAAATATGCAAGCGCTTGCTCGCGCGCCTGTTTCGCGCCATCGGAACTCTCCACTCTGCGTGTATTGTCTCTGTCGCTGTTGTTTATACCTGTGCACAGGTCGAACCTCTACGCAGATTGCCTCTATTTCAATGGGAAATTTCTTCTTTTGCAATTTTATATATTGCGGGATCCGCAACAGTCTAGCATTATCCTGTCTTAGAGTAGGGGAAATTGCGATTGGAACAAACGTTTAGAAATTCCATTTCTTCCGATAAATTTTTGCATTGAGAGTCGTTAGTGAAATATCCGCTCGATGGGAAGAATGTAGAGCACGTAGGGAAAATTGCGCGAGATTTCCAGAGTTTAAGAAAAATATATATATATATATATAAAATTACGTGTAATTACGAAGATCGACGAGGAAAGAGAAATGGTCTCCTTGATGAGTTCCTTCGGACGCGATGGGATGGGATTGTTTTGAAGATTTTGTGTAAACTTGTTGTCGAGAAAGAGAGAGAGAGAGAGAGAGAGAGAGGGACAGGGGGAAGAGAGAGAAAGGAATTTGCTTGTTTTAGGGGATTAAGCAGCTAACTGATGTGCAGAGATACGGAAAACGAGCGGGTAGTGGGAACGAGGCTCGCAGCGTGGCAGCGAGAGAACGTTGCGAACGAGGGAGCCATCAAATTTGTCTTTTTTTGATTAATTTTAGTCACCGACCGACAGCCATGTTTCTAAAATCGTCCTCATTCTTAGCTTTCCGTGTATACAACGCACGCGACACTTAAATGCGTTTCGTGGGCTCTAGACCGAATATCAAAACAACCTCCTCTATTGTTTGTGATGACAGGTAAATATAGTGCGTCTAACGAGTCGTGTCTCAGTTGGTAAATAAAATAT